AATTTTATCCTTTTTTTAATATGAAAAACTTAATTGTTTGACAAATCGAAATTATGCAGCTATTTTTTCCTTTTTTCTAAAAAAAAAATTTTAAAATTGTTGGAAAATTAAAATTAGAAAGTAGAAAATATTTTGCACATTTTCTGCTTCTCAATTACAATTCATAAACAAAGTACAAGTTTTAAGTAAAAAAAATGTTATAAATCAAATTTTGTTTAAGAAATTTTAAATCTATTTTGGAAATAATATTTACAAAATTTCTATTTGTTAAAAACGATGGTAAAATTATTCGAAAACATGAATAACTTATTTTCTAAATTATCATTTTATTATTATAATTTTTCGATTGTTCGGAAATTCTTCAATTAAATATATATTAGAAAATAAAAACTACAAATAATTTCAGAAAAAATTCAATTAATTTTTTTCAAAATAATTAATTCTATAGAATTGTTGGTTATAAGTATGAAAAATTAAAATTTAAAAAAAAATTAATTAATTAATTAATTGATTTGAAACCTTTTCAAAATTCAATTATTTCTAAAAATTCATGCTATAATGCTTTAAAAATTAAATTAATTTCAAATTACATAAGTAAAATTATTATACCAGAACTTAGACTTTGTGTAAAGGTTTTTAAGTATATATATGGACCATAGAAAAAGAATCCACACTAGTTATTAATAATTATTAAATTTAGAGAAGGTAACGTCAGATTCTTTCGAAGATCCAATAATCGAAAATGCTCAATGAATAATTATTCAAAGAAACAAAATTAGAAATATTTTCCTTTCTAATAATTTTAGACAAGGGTTCATTTATAAAAGTTTATATTGAATAAATAATGTCTTTTTTTTTCTTCTTTTGTCTCATTAAGCGTCAAACAAACCAGAGTTTAATGGGTCTTTGTAAAAACAAGGTGGATTCTAGGTACGTGAGAAATGGCACGTTTTGCTTTCGCAAGGGAATGTATCAACTCATGTGGAAATTTAAGAGAAAAAGTGACTAAATTGGTGCACTATGACAAGCACTGTCTTATCATCCAAGTATTTTTATAAATTATCCGTAATTATTCTAATTCAAAAATCATATATTTAAACAATTTTTATCTTTCACTTCTAGAATTTAATTATTATTTTATATATATTTCATACAATTTTTTCGAAAACTGCAGTTAAATAAATTTTTTTGTTTCGTCTATTTTCAGCATCTAAAGAAATTTAACTTTTTAATTTTCAAAATATTTATTTTTTAGAAAAATGTGCCTAATTAGATGATTGAAGATGAATGATGGATTTATACTAAAAAGATAATAAAAATTCGAATCAAAATTTTGGCCTAAAATACCATCTGAAGTATAAAACCATTTTTTTTCTCTAAAAGTAATTTTATTAGTAATTGGAAATGATAGGATATGACCAATATGAGAGCAATGAAATTTTCAGTACATATTAGAAGAGTTTATAGCCTCAAACTTTATATGAAACATGAACCTACTCGAGAGGAAACTTCCGTTTATAGCCAACGCTGTAATTGGTAAAGTACAGAAAGCAGTCAAAATGTATATTTTCGTGTTCAGTCGAAAAAGCTGTCACTATGACTTTAATGTAAATATATTTAAAAATTTATTTTTTAAATTGAAATTTATTTTCACGTTCGTTCACATACCGCAAAAACGGTTCAATCTTCAGAAATATGTGAAAAAACTAAATAATTTTTACAACTCAAATTATTCAGAAATATCTGGAGAGTTTCTAACCGTAAAGAAAAGGTATAAAATTATTGTTGTTCTGAAAAATTTGTATTCCTATTGAGGAAATAGCTGATTTTTGTAAAAGAATTGAAAAAGAATAAATGCAGTTCCATTACAAAGGAGTGTTTCACCATTTTCTCTCAGTCGGTGAAGACATAAAAAATCAATTTAAGTTAAATGGTCATTGGTCGTCTGCTCATTCTAGTAGCAAGATCTTTGCATACCACGGAAATTGCTTTTAAATGTTATTTTGCTCTATACATTTTGCATATCTGATTAAAAGTCAAGTGCAGTGGATAATATTTCTTTTTGATAATGCCTTTTATAAATGCAACGACAAATATTACCGTCACGTTTATGGTACTTGTATGGGTTCATCAATTTCTGGCCTTTTTACAGATATTATCATGGAGGACCTTGGGAATTCTTTAATAAATAATTTACTAGTCTCTCCTTCATTATTCTTTAATATAGGGGGTCGATATTGTAACTTTTCCACTACCACTTTCACTTCCCACTTTCCACGATCACTTCCCGCCTCTTACTCCCACTTTCCACTTCACATTTCCACTTACCACTCTCATTTTCCACTGTCACTTTTCATTTCCTTCTTCTCACTCTCACTTTCTACTCCTAATTTTTCTTCCCACTTTCAACTTCTACTTTCCACTCTCACTTTCACCCCCCACTCTCTACTTTCCACGCCTATTTTCCTCTGTCACATTCCACTTCCTTCTTCCCACTCTCACTTTCTACTTTCCACTTCTAATTTTAAAACCCACTTTTAAATTATACTTTCCACTTTTAACTTCTACTTTTCACTCTCACTTTCCACCGCCACTCCCTACTTTCCATGCCCATTTTCCACTGTCACATTCCACTTCCTTCTTTCCAATCTCACATTTTACTTTACACTTCTAATTTTACTTTTCACTTCCACTTTCACTTTCCACTCCCTACTTTCCATGCCCATTTTCCACTGTCACATTCCACTTCCTTCTTCCAACTCTCACTTTTTACTTTCCACTTCTAATTTTACTTTCCACTTTCAACTTCTACTTTCAACCCCCACTCCCTACTTTCCATACCTATTTTCTACTGTCACATTCCACTTCCTTCTTCCTACTCCCACTTTCTACTTCTAATTTTACATTCCACTGTCACTTCAACCCCCCACTTCACCCTCTCCTAATTTCCACTTCCTACTTTCAGTTCCCACTTTCACTTACCACTCCCCACCTGGGGTGCTATTCTGTAACTTCACTTCACATTCACTTCACTTTCACTTCACATTCACTTCACTTTCACTTCACATTCACTTCACATTCACTTTCACTTCACATTCACATTCACATTCACTTCCACTTCACATTCACTTCACATTCACTTCACATTAAAAGTGAAAAGTGAAGTGAATGTGGAGTGGAAGTGAAGTGAATGTGGTGTGGAAGTGAAGTTAATGGGGAGTGAATGTGAAGTGAATGTGAAGTAAATGTGAAGTGAATGTGAAGTGAATGTGAAGTGAATGTGAAGTGAATGTGAAGTGAATGTGAAGTGAATGTGAAGTGAATGTGAATGTGAATGTGAAGTGAAAGTGAAGTGAATGTGAAGTGAAGTTACAAAATAGCACCCCTGGCTTCCCCATTCTAATTTTCTATTCTGTCTACCTACTTTTCACTCACTTTCCAACTTTAAACTTACTACTTCTCACTCTGACTTTCTACTCCTAATTTTATTTCCCACTCCACACTTTCCACTTCCACTATCATTGCTCACTTTTCACTCGCACTTCCAAGTTTCACTTTCCACTTCTATCTAATTTACCACTTTCTACCTTCGACTCCCACTTTTGCTTCTCCTTTTACAAAAGTGGAAAGGTGGGAAGTGAGAATGGCAAATTCTCACTTCAAATTCAAGTGGAAATGGAATGTGTAAATGGATAAAGAAATTGGGAGTGGAATGTGTGTTTAAAAAGTGAGAGTGGAAAGTGGGAATTAATAATGAAATCATGAGTGAAAAGTGTGTTTAGAAAGTGAGAGGGGAAAATAAGAGTAGGAAATAAAGGCGGGAAATGGAAAATCGGAAGGGAAAGTGTAAGTGGAAGGTGGGAAGTGATAGTGGAAAGTAGCAGTGGGAAATAAATATGGTAAGTGGGAATGGAAATTGCGAATGGGGTCGATTCTGTAACTTTCCCACTCCCACTTCCCACTTTCACTTTCCACTTCCCACCTACCACTTTTCACTCTCACTTCCCACATTCCGCTTCCCACTCTCATTTTCCACTCTTGCTTTCCACACCCACTTCTAACTTCTATTTCCCACTTTTACATCCCACCTTCCACTTTTCACACCAACTTTTTACTTCTACCTTCCACTTCCTAGTCCTACTTCCCACATTCTGTAAAATTCCCACTCTCACTTCCCCCCTTCTACTCCCACTTCCCACTCTTATTTTCCACTCTCACTTCCCACTTTCACTTCCCACATTCCACTCCCACCTTCCACTTTTTACTGCCCACATTCCGCTTCCCACACCCACTTCTAACTTCTATTTCCCACTTTTAATTTCCACCTTCCACTTTTTACTCCTACCTTCCACTTACTAGTCCTACTTCCCATATTATGTAACTTTCTTACTCTCACTTTCCACATTCCATTTTCAACTCTCACTTACCGCATTTCACTTTCTACTCCCACTTTGACTTCTCACATTCCACTTTCACTTTCTACTTTTAATTCTCACACTCTACTCTCACTTTTCACTCCAATTTTACACTTTTACTTCCTACTTCCACTCTCACATACCACTCCCGCTTCTATATGAAAATACCTGATTAACGATTAAGAGTGCAAGGTAGAAAGTGAGAATTTAAGAGAATTTAAGAAGTGAAAGTGGAAGATAATAAGTGACAGTGAGAAGTACATAAATACAAAATGTGCGAAGCAGGAGTAGGAAGTAGAAGGTAGGAGTAGAAAGTGAGTGTGAAAAATGGAAGGTGGAAAGTAAAAGTGGGAAATAGAAGTGAGAGTCAGAAGTGGGAGTGTGATGTGAGAGTTGGAAGTGAGAGAGGAAAGTGGAAGGTTGAAAGTGGAAGTGGGAAGTAGGATTGGGAAGTGAGAGTGGAAAGTGAAAGTGGGTAGTGAGAGTGGAAGGTTGGAAGTGAGAGTTAAAAGTGGTAGGTGGGAAGTGGAAAGTGAAAGTGGGAAGTGGGAGTGGGAAAGTTACAGAATCGACCAGCAGGAGTGGAAAGTGGAATGTGTGTTTTTAAAGTGGGAGTGGGAAATAAAGGTGGGAAGTGGAAAATCGGAATGGAAAGTGGACGGTGGGATGTGAAATGTGGGAAGTGAGAGTGGAAGTGAGAGTGTAAAGTGGGAGTGAAAGGTTGGAAGTGAATGTAGACAGTGGAAAGTGGAAGGTGGTGAGTGAATATGGGAAGTGGTAGTAGAATGTGGGAGTGGGAAGTGGAAAAGTTATAGAATCGATCTCCTGGGCCTTAAGATGACTAATATCAACAACACACCTTTATAAATTCAATACTGTTAGGTATCAATGTAGTAGGAAAGGGAGTGTTAAGGAAAGAGAATGAGAGTAGAGGGAGAATGAAGGGGTCTAATTCCCAAATCAGTGTGTCGCCTCTTAATGTAATCACTTTTAATAATTATTTCAACAAACTCATTTATATTTTGTTGTTCACCTCAAAATCGGTGTCTAACTTTATTTGTAGTCCTCCTAAATTCATTACACTTTAAAATTTTTGTAATTTTCTTCTACACCATCCATGATTAAAAATAAATGCATGAATTTGATTTTAAATTTTACGCGAAAAGGAAAAATTGACGAGTCATCGTAAGTACCGCAATGAGATAAGAAGATGCATCTCCTAAAAGCGAACCATCTTCTTCGGGGTAAGTCTTTATGAAAAGAAAATCATAAATTTGCTGATAATAATCAATAAGTGTCGGTCGATGATTTATTCTCCACTGTTGCTAATTATAGTTACCTGAATCTCCACTGGGAGCGTCTTCCTTCCCCAGAGAAATATTATTCGTCAAGATGGACGCACCCGTTGTTTTGACAGGTGATCAATAATTTCAATCACGATTCGTCTTCTTGACACTGTTGAATAATCAGGAGAATCCATGTGTCTAGAAGCATTTCGCTTGGTGATTTGAGAATTCGTTTGATGACGAAGGTCTTGTATTATTACGGACAGTTATTTAATTATATCCAAGGCTGAAGAATATATTGTTAACAAGAACCAAAACAGCATTGCGGGCTTTAAATAAATTAACATCCTTATTTTAGTCACGGTATAAACTAAAAATGCTCAGTCAGATATAACATAAAAATCGATTTTTTCCTTCAGTGGGTACTAACTTCTCGTTTTTAAGAATCCCATTGTTTTCCAATGTATCATGATGGCAATACTTCAATATTCCCAGCGTGATAGCATGAAATATTGACAATCACCTTCTGTAAATCTGATGTGAAGTTAAGTGTGAGTATTTGTGGTTTGAAAAACACAAAAACAGTGTAACAGTAATAATAAAAATACATGGCGATGTATTGCGATGAAGCACAGTGATTAAAGCAGTACGACGTACACGGGAAATGGACGGAACCCTCTAGTGGAGCGTTATACGTTTAGCTGTGCGTTCAGGACAAAGGTGAAAATTTTGCATCTGTTGGAAATGCCAGGCTATGGAATTAGTGCACAGTATGTGGCGCAATTTGATGTTGGTTTGACATCGACCTGACGTTACATGTTGCTGTTCTGATAAAACGATAGGCTCCAATAGAAGGCCGTTACACAGGATCTATGAATCAGCCACAGTAAGCCATTATTCCCGCCTTTGACCAGAGCACGCTATTTGTTATTTTACACTTTGGGTGATGCTCTCATTAATCAACCTTCCACTCTCTGCTCATTCTATTGAAAAAATTTTCGTTTATTCTCTGTGCTGGCAAAAATTATTCCTTAATAGAAATGTTAACGTTCAATATTTATCGAATCCCACATTCTTTTTAAATTTTCAATTGCAAGCAGTCATTTGTCAGTGTAATTAAATGAGTAATGTCTAACATGACGACTATATTGAAAAGATTTTTCAAAGCCAAACTATTTATAATTTATGACTGAAATAATGTTACATTCCAGTTAGTAATAAAATTCTCTCCTTGAAATTGAATGCATTAAAAATATGTCACTAAAAATTATATTCCATGAGTGAGGTATTCATATCACATGTCAGTCACGAACTTCCCACTTAGATTCGTTAAGTTGTTCAAAATTAAAAACTCGGAGCGTCCAACAAAAGAAATGTTAACGATAACCAATAAGTGATGTCCATAAACCACTAATTTATCTTAAGTATAAAACAGAGTTTTTCGTCGCAAAATATCAGGACGAGGAAGAATCATAATTCATTAAATTTCCCAAATTGAATTAATCAGATGGAAACAAAAAAAGAAAACTCGAATGTAACGTGTCAAAAAATGTCACGTCAGGAAATATAAAATTAATATTACCCCTTTTAATAAATTAGTATATTCTTAATAAACGACATGAAAACGAGACTTGAGTACATTTTGAAGAATAATAAACTAAATACTATGAAAAACTCCCAACCGATCTTTTTTTAAGAGTTGTAAAAGCTCGCAACGTCAAAACCCAAGTGGAATTTTGTCATCCCTTGTTATTTCATAATTGTTTCTGCCCTCTGAACAGAGGTAATTGCAAGCACATTTTAACATAATGAATTTAAACTTGAATTCACATTTAACTTTGCAAATTAACATACCTCATTCTTTTCATCCATGTAAACAATTCAGTAAATATTTTAAACTAATTTAACTCTTTAACACCCCTGGGACATGTGTGTCCCACTTATGAAAAGTCCAATATCTACGAACAAAATAATTAATATTTTTTATTCAAATTTGGTGCAATTTTTTCAGTTACGAGAAGGCCTCAAAAAAATATACTAACCAGAAAGTATCTAAAGTTTGTTATTAAAAAATATAAACAATTGTTCACATTTACAAATCAAAACATTTTAGATTCACGCGAAACTCGTTCCTCGGGGATTTGTAAAGTCGCTGAGTACGAATCTAATGGGACATATATGTCCCACTTACAGAAAAGCTCAATATCTATAAACAAAATTAATATTGTTCATTAAAATTTGGTGCGATTTCTTCTGATACGAGAAGGGCTCAAAAATATGTTAACTAAAAAGTATCTAAAATTTGCTAATGTTTAAAAAATTGTAAACCATTGTTTTTACAGATCAAATTTTTTTGTATTCGATTGAAACTCGTTACTCGGTGATTTTTAAAGTCGCTGATTACAAATCTGATGTTACTTTTGTAATTGGGACATATATGTCCCACTTACAAAAAGCTCAATATATATTAAAAAAATTAATAATTTTCATTAAGATTTGGTGCGATTTGTTCTGATACGAGAAGGGTTCATAAATATGTTAACCAGAAATTATCTAAAATTTGCTATTGTTTAAAAAAATATAAACAATTGTTTTTAAAGATCAAAACATTTTGGATGCGATTGAAACTCGTTCCTCGGGGATTTTTAAAGTCTCTGATTACAAATCTGATGTTACTTGTACAAGTGGGACATATATGTCCCATTTTTGATTTACATCAAACTTGTTACACGGGGATTTTTAAAGTCGCTGAGTACGAATCTAATGTTACTTTTGTAAGTGGGACATATATGTCCCAGTTACAGAAAAGCTCAATATATACTTAGAAAATTAATATTTTTCATTAAGATTTGGTGCGATTTCTTCTGATACGAGAAGGCTTCAAAAATATGTTGACCAGAAAGTGTCAAAAATTTGCTATTGTTTAAAAATTATAATCAATTGTTTTTACAGATCAGAACATTGTGGATTCGATTGAAACTCGTTCCTCAAGGATTTTTAAAGTCGATGATTACAAATATGATGTTACTTGTACAAGTGGGACATATATGTCCCATTTTTTATTTACATGAAACTTGTTACACGGGGATTTTTAAAGTCGCTGAGTACGAATCTAATGTTACTTTTGTAAGTGGGACATACATATATGTCCCACATACAGAAAAGCTCAATATCTATAAACAAAATTAATATTTTTCATTAAAATTTGGTGTGATTTTTTCTGATACGAGAAGAATTTAAAACTATGTTAACTAGAAATTATCTAAAATTTACGCCATATTGGATCCGCCATTTTGGATTTTTGAAAACTGACATCGAATACGTAATCAACGTTCCTAAACACCTCTAAAAACATGTTAGGTTTAAAAAAACTACCTCCTCCCATTCAGAGGGTGTTAACCCTTTCGTGCCGCCGGGACATATTTATGTCCCACTTAGAAAAATTTATGTTATTCTTACAAAAGTCAACCAATTGATTTGCAGTAAATTTCCTTCTATTCCGAATGGCCGCTGCTACAATTTAAAAAAAATAATAAATTACGTAGTACGATTATAATTATTATAAACAATAGATAAAATATTTATAAGAAAATAGCGAAATCTAATTCTTCAAAATTTCCTCAAATTCGCTTAAAACTTCTTACTCAGGGGTTTTCGGGGTCGCTGATAACGAATCTAAAGTCAGATTTTTAAAATTTTCAAAATTCAAAATGGTGGACATATTTTTCAAATCTACTCAAATTCGTTGGAAACTTGTTTTTCGAGGGTTTTCGGGGTCAAAATTTTGAATTTTTTTAAATCTGACTTCATATTCGTAATCAGCGACCCCGAAAACCCCAGAGTAACAAGTTTTATGTAAATTTGAGCAACTTTGAAAAAATGTCCGTCATATTGGATCCGACATTTTGAATTTTCCAAATTTTGAAAATCTGACTTTAGATTCGTAAACAGCCAACCCGAAAACCCTTGAGTAACAAGTTTCAACAAAGTCCAACTTTCCTGTAATCAATTCTCCATTTTAGAGATACTATCCGGAAATACAAGATATTTTAGTGACATTTATGAGCTTCATAAAATTAGAAGTTTTATATGATTTTTCAGGTGCATACTTGGATATTCCAATTTCCGGAAATTTGACGATATCCATATAACGTATGTAAGATATTCTAAAATATTTGATACTGTAAGAGATCATTCCACAAATAAAAAAAAAGGAATAAAAATATTTTTTCATCAGGTTTATTTCCACTTTTTACGAAGTGGACAAATTTAAGCAATTAAATTATTTAATTCAAGGTCTGGTGCATCCAATTCACTGAACTCCGATCACACCACATAACTTACAAGTTTGCACAAATTAACTTGGCAACTACTTCGTTCATTAAATTTAACTTACGTTTTTCAACCACTTAGATGTAATTCTAAATTTTATTGACAAATTTTAAAAAATTGATCGGATTTGCTTGAAATTTGTAATTCGTCAGTTTTTGGAGACGCTAATTACAAATTAGGTATCAATTTTTCAAAATTCAAAATGGCGGATCCAAAATGGCGGAATTTGGTTAATTTTTGTATATTACACTTCAGATGGTAAACTACAGTTTCGTTTTGAAGCAAATATAAATTTTTTGTTAAAATTCAAAGATGGTAATGATTTTTTTTTTCTGTTGCAGTGAGAGAAGTTACATTATCTGAACTCAGGGACTCCGTGGTGAGGTTACAGGACAGAGTTAAGTTAGTGTGCAGAACGAGAGGATCACCTCCTCCAAAAGTGCATTGGCTTAAAGACGGAATACTTCTTCATCCACGAAGAGGACTCCGAATTCAACACAAACGGTGAGTAAATTACTTTTATTATCATAAAATATTAATAAATTCAAGAAATAATATTAGGAAAATGAGAGTCAATATTACGATTTAGTTTCATATCAGATGGTTTAGTTTCTTCTAGTTTTTAAATGAACGATCATTATGATAAGAATAATCAATATGGAAATCAGCGTTGTAATATTTGCAATTCTCTTTAGTTATTAGCATGTTATTAGCATTTCGATATTTCTTTTACTTTTGTGTTTTTGCATTCGGTACTTTGATATTATCATGAACAGATCTTTACTTCCTTAAGCATTTTTTTTAAATGTCTAAAGAAATTGATTTGCAGTATTTTCAAATCTCTTTTTTTACTGTTTACATTTTCTTTTCTTCTCAGAAATTAATATATAACTTATCGAATTTTTAATTTATTTTATAATTGCGATTCTATTTATAAGTAATATAAATTAAGCATTGCTTAATATAGATCATTTTTCTAATTCAAAGTATATATAATCAATACACTCAGAACAGAATAATTATTTATTTATATAGTGAATTGCTTTACAGATTTAAATATAACATGTCGATATGTCAATTACTTAACATATAATTTCACTTCAAAGATACAAATTTTGTCAATATTTCAAATATGTCAATGCATATTAGATGAGCAGTTTCATTAAAGCTAATAATTTTTTTATAAAATGTATTATACATACAATTTTAATTCCTTTTTAACAAACCAAATATAAATGGAATATAATAATGTGAAAGCCCATACTTTCTTTGGCTCACATTTATCGTACTTTAGAATTACGATTTAAATGTATTTTCATTTATTAGTAATATTGTCAAACATTTTTTATTTAACATCTTTTATATTTTCAAATTTTGTCATTTGTTTTTGAATTTACAGTATATTGACTCAAATAAAATCCAGGATGATCAAAATTGTCAATTTTTGAAAGCACTTCTCTACATCAAATAAATAAAAATACTTTATCATTGCCCGTATTTTTAATTAAAAATTGTACAAACATTAAAAGAGATTTTTAAAGGACTGTTACATTTGCTTTTAGTTTAGGTTCATTTTATTAATAAAACAAGAACGTAATATTTCTGTAATTTGTATCCTTTTAAAAATATTTTTTTTTAATTTAACGTTCGAAAATAATTCTTTTTGAACGTCAAATTAAAAAAAAGTGTTTTGTCTAATAAAATTACAAACTGGATCCATTACTTTTTCAAATAGTTTTATCACATAGTTAGGGTGTTCGCTCTTTCTAACCGATGTGGAGTCAGTTTTCCCAAAAGAACAACGATTCTTGAATTAAACTACCAAAAAAAAAGATTCATTTAAGGGTAGAGAAAACGACACGATTTTTGTACGAATAAACGACCACTATTACAATTAACGTAATGGTTCGAACAGGTGCGCCTTATTACGATTGCGAACGATGCTAACGCGCGGTCCTTAAGACAACACTGCACGCCTTGACCGCTTGGCCTCTCGAGATTGCAAATACTCGATTTCCTTCGTTTATAGAGCACTTTTCTACCCCCAATCAAATATCATACATAATTCAAGAACCACTTTAACACTTTCACTGTGGCACGTCAATTCTAACAATTTAGGACTTCCATTCCATATATAGTAAAAAGAAACGGAAAGAAATTTTATGGATCCTAATAAAATTGCTGTAAGCTAATAGAAGGGAAATAGGGTTCCGATACGCTTGAAGAAGAATTTAATTAGCATTCTTTCATGTATTTTAAAATGAACATAGATTAATATAACTGGGAGTTATTTTTTATAAAACCTCTCGTCTAATAGTTTGGGAATCATGTTAAATCGAAAATTGTTAATTTGAAAAGATAAGTGTTAGAAAGTTAAAAAGAATAAGGAGGTGATAGCAAACATTCCACGTAAGAATTAACCGATTCTGCAGCTTTTCCACTTTTAATCCCCCCCTTTCCACTTCTTACTTTCTACTTTTTATTTCCCACTTATACTTTCCACTCCTCACTTACACTTTCCACTCCCACTTCTCACTCTCAGCTCCTACTTTCCACTTAGCACTCCTAATTTCACTTCACACCTTCGTTTCCCACTTTTACTTCCCACTCCCACTTTCCACTCTCACTTCCTGTTTTCCATTCTGACTTCCTATTTTCCACTTTCACTTCCACTCGCACTTTCTACTTTCCACTTAGTACTCCTACTTTCCACTTTCAACTTTTCACTCCTAATTCACACTTTCGTTTCCCACATTCAACTCCTACTTTCCACTTTCTACTTTCAACTCTCACTTTATATTGTTCATTATGACTTCTTATTTTCCACTTTCACTTTCACTCGCACTTTCTACTTTCCACTTAGTACTCCTACTTTCCACTTTCAACTTTTCACTCCTAATTTCACTTCACACTTTCGTTTCCAACTAACAACTCCTTTTCTCCACTTTTTACTATCCACCCCTACTTTCCACATCCACTTTCCAGTCCCACTTCCAACTTTCCACTTACCACTTCTAATTTCATTTCACACTTTCGTTTGCTACTTCTAACTCCTACTTTACACTCATTTTCTACTTTTCATTTTTTACTTTCCACTCCTATTTTTTACTCTCACTTCCTACCTCTACTTTCCTACTCTTACTTTCCTCTCTCACTTCCTATTTTCCATTCTGACTTCCTACATTCCACTTTTACTTCCTACTCTCACTTTCCACTTTTAATTCCCACTCTCACTTTCTACTTTACACTTACTACTCCTAATTTTACTTCACACTTTCTTACTCGCATTTTCTACTTTCCACTTACTACTCCTAATTTCACTTCACACTTTCGTTTCCCACATTCAACTCCTACATTACACTTTCTACTTTCAACTCTCACCTTATATTTTCAATTCTGCCTTCTTACTTTCCACTTTCACTGTCACTCGCACTTTTTACTTTCCACTTAGTACTCCTACTTTCCACTTTCTGCTTTCCATTCCTAATTTCATCTCACACATTCGTTACCCACTTTCCACTCTCACTTCATATTTTCCATTTTGACTTTCTACTTTCCACTTTCACTTCCCACTCTCACTTTCTACTTACTACTCCTAATTTTACTTCACACTTTCGTTTCCCACATTCAACTCCTACTTCCCACTCCTAATTACACTTTACATTTTCGTTTCCCACTTTACACTCTCACTTCCTAACTCTACTTTCCACTCTCACTTCATATTTTTCACTTTCACATCCACTCGCACTTTCTACTTTCAACTTTCCACTTCTAATTTCACTCCACACTTTTGTTTCCCACTTTCCACTCTCACTTCACACACCTACTTTCCACTCTCACTTCATATTTTCCATTCTGACTACTTTTTACTCTTACTTTACACTCATTTCCCACTTTCCATTTTTTACTTTCTACTCCTATTTTTCACTTTCACCTCTACTTTTCTACTCTTACTTTTCTCTCTCACTTCCTATTATCTATTCTGACTTCCTACATTCCACTTTAACTTCCTACTCTCACTTTCTACTTTCCACTTTTAATTCCCACTCTCACTTTCTACTTTCCACTTACTACTCATAATTTTATTTAACACTTTCGTTTCCTAAATTCAACTCCTACTTTTCACTTTCTGCTTTCCACTCCTAATTTCACTTCCCACCTCTACTTCCCCACTCCCATTTTTCCCACTCACTTCATATTTTCCATTTTGACTTCCTACTTTTCACTTTCACTTCCCACTCTCACTTTCCACTTACCACTCCTAATTTTACTTCACACTTTCATTTCCCACATTCAACTCCTACTTTCCACTTTCTACATTCCACTCTTAATTTCACTTAACAGTTTCGTTCCCTACTTTCCACTCTCACTTCCCACCTCTACTTCCCCACTCCTATTTTTCCCACTCACTTCCTGTTTTCCATTCTGACTTCCTACTTTCCACTTTCACTTCCTTCTCTCACTTTCTACTTACTACTCCTAATTTTATTTCATACTTTCGTTTCCCACTTTCAACTCCTACTTTTCACTCTCACTTCCTACTGGCACTTTCCACTTTCAATTCTCACTTTTAACTTTCCACTCTCTCATTCCTATAACATTTTAAGTATGATTTTTTATCATAAAATTTTACAAGATAGGAGAAATGTTATAGTAATGTATCACATTAGGAAGGAGAAAGTTGGAAGTGAAAGTGAATAGTATAAATTAGGATTTCTAACTTCCAAGTAGAAGTGGAAAATTGAAGTGAGAAGTGAGAGTAGGAAAAGGAAAGTGGGAAGTGTGTGTAGAAATTGGAAGTGGAGTATGAGAGTGGAAAGTGGTAGTGGAGTGTAAGAGTGGAAAGTGAAAGTGGAAATAGAAGAGTGTGAAGTGAGAGTAGAAAGTGGAAAATAAAAGTGGGAGTGAATGATGGGAAAGAGAGAGTGGAAAAGTTAAAGAACCCGCTGCCCACCGTCACTACGTACAGATGCTCTGGTTACAGATACCTGGCTTACTAGAACTATTTTTGGAGTCATCAATTAAAAATTTAATGTCAGAGTCGTACTCAGCGATTTCTAAATCCCCCGAGTAACAACTTTTATCAACTTTGGTCCAATTTTAGAACCAAATTTAGGATTTGTTTGTTAGGAAGCTTAGATCTATTTTTGAGGTTAGATTCGATAGATTTAATGTTTTATATGAATTTTCACTTGGAAAACTTGTAGAATAGTTGATTTAAATTAATGGACCTTAGAAACGTATCAATGTGTGGTTGGGTTCAACTTTGATCATTCAAAAGAGACCATTTTAGCGTTTTTGAGGTAAGGGCGAAAAACCAAGACCCATAGACCAAATTCTGATGACAGATTTGGATTCAGCGCATCAAAATATGTCGTAAAAGAGATTGGCTAGTTCTTGGATTGATTTTTTGTAAAAAATGTAGAAGAGCAAAATTATAAAAAATACAAAGATTCTATAATGCCCTTTTGTTAGAAAAATATTTTTTTGTATGGGAAAAGTGT